ACAGCCTTATTCAAGCTTTTGATTTCATCGTCACAGGCTTTCTTCTTGTCCAGCAGCTGCTGGATCAACTCAGAGCCTTTCTCAGGCTGGTCCAAGGTGTCCTTGAACGTGCTCAGATCCTTGAGCAAGTCAGACTTAGTCTTGTTGTAGCCTTTCTCCAGGCTTTCCAGCTCAGTGCAGCTGGCCTCAAGCTGTGGAGAAGGCTGCTGCTCTTTGGCATTTTGGCATGCCTGCACCAACAGCTTGAGCTTGTCCAGGGAGCTGCTCAAGTCATTGATGGCCTTCTTCAAGCCTTTGTAGGCTTCCTTGTATTCTTCAGCTGTTGCAGCCTTCTCAGGCTCTTCTTCCATTGCTTCAGCAGTAGCCTTCTCAGGCTTGTTCTTCTTGCTGCCAAGCAGCACCTGCCTTTCTTCAGGCTTGGCCATCAAAGCCTTTTCCACTTGCTGGAACTCAGCAGTATCCAGGTCACCCACTGTCTGGTGAGCCGCAGTTGTGCTCTCCCTGGTCCTGCTTTCTTCGGTGGCCATCTCCTTCCTGACCTTATACTGCTTGACCCCCATGTCAGCCCATGCCTTCACTTCATGGGGCCTTTCTTCCAACCCTTTCACAGCAGCCTTCTCAAGCTCTTTGAAGCTGGGGTCCTGTGGGTCAGCACCCTGCAGCTTGGCTATCTGGAAGGAAGTCATCCATCCAGACAGAGTTTTTTCAGTCTGTTGGAGCCTTTCCAGGCTTGTCTTGTGGCATTGCTTTTGGCTGACATTGGGGTCAAGCAAGAAAACATGATAGTAAAACTCACGTTTTGCTTGCTGGGACCCTTCAGCCTTTGCCTTTTCCCAGGCATTGCGAAGCTTGCTGTCACCAGCTTTTGCCTGTTTCATCACCTGGTGGTGCACATCCTTCCAAACCTCCTTCCCAGGAGCTGGCAACTGAGTAGCCTTCTCAGGCTGGGCTTTGGCTTTGGGAGCCTTCTCAGGCTTGGAGCTAGAGGCTTCAGCTTGCTCAGGTGCATTCTCAGGCAGGGAGCCTTCATCAGGCTGGGAGCCTTCATCAGGCTGCTTTCTCTTCTTGGGGGTCTGCTGTTCTTTCTTCACTGCTGCTTTGGCTGCAGCTTTGGCAGCAGTCTTGAAAGCTGCTGGCTTCTTTGGAGAAGCCTTCTTGGTCTTGGCCATTGCTTCCTCTGGCTGGCCTCCTTTGCTGGGGTGCTTGAAAAAGCTGGTGCTTGAGCAGAACTGCTTAGGTTCCAACAACATGTTCCCATAACTAAATTTTGTTATAAACACAATATCCCAATAATATTAAACATATATATTTTGCAACTGTGTTTTTGAACATACACCCCATAGTACCAAAGACTCATAAACATTTTTTTTTTACAAACCACCACAAAATAGAAAACACATTTTTAAAAAGTGTTCAACATATTTTGTTTTACATTTTTGAAAAATTATCAAATAAAACTTTGTAGTTTGTTGGCAACAAAAATATTTGAAAAACAGAACTAATTAAAAATTGTTTTTGGAAAAAATGATGAATATATTTTGGGCACCAAAAAGTTCAAACAAAAAAATTGTACAAGTTCAAAAGTATAAAATTGAAAAAAAAATAAAAAATTGGAAAAACAGGTTTGGAAAACAAAAAAAAAGAAAAACAAATTGAACTTTTTGGACACCAAAAAAGTTCAAAAAGTTCAGATTTTTTGGGTGACAAAAAACAAAAATTGAACTTTTTGGAGAAAAAAGTTCGAAAAGTTCAGAGAGTTTTTTTGAAAAACATCAAAAATGGAACTTTTTGAACTTTTGGAACTTTTTGTTTTTTTTTGGATTTTAAATTATATTTAATAAGGAAAAGTAAAAAATTCAAAAAGTTCAAAAAGTTCCAAAAGTTCAAAAAGTTCCATTTTTGATTTTTTCAAAAAAACTGGCTGAACTTTTTGAACTTTTTTCTCCAAAAAGTTCCATTTTTTTTGTCACCCAAAAAAAAACTGAACTTTTTGATTATTTTTTGGGACAGAAATGGAAATCAACCTATTTTATTTGAATTTTTGATTTTTAAAGAAAATAACTTTTTGAAATACAATCAATGGCAGAAGGATTCAAAAAGGTGCCAGTCATGGCATGGGACTTTCAAAATCTTTTTTTTTGTGGGTGCCAACCCAAAAAAAATGTGCCAGTTATGGCATGGGATTTTCAAAACTTTTTTTGTGGGTGTCAACCAAAAAAGAAACAAGGTGCCAGTTATGGCATGTCCATTTCAAAACCTTATTTTTTGGGGGGTGCCCACCTAAAAAATAGGTGCCAGTTATGGCATTGAAATTTCAAAGCCTTATTATTATTTGGTGGTCTTCCCAAAAAATGGTGCCAGTTATGGCATGGAACCTGCCTTATTTTTATTTGAGGGGCTTCCCAAAAAAAGGTTGCTATTTCTGGCATGGAATCTTCCCCAAAAAATGTGCCAGTTATGGCATGCTTTTGCCCCTTATTTATTTTCATTTGGTGGTTACCCCCAAAAAAAGTGTGCCAGTTATGGCATGGAAACCTATTCCCTTATATTTATTTAGGGGTGGACCCATTCACCTATTTATATTTGGTGTTTTACCCACAACAGCCACAACCAAAAACACACCTGCCCACTCATCCCTTTTTTTTCCAAAAAATCACAGCTGCTCTTGCCCCAGCAGCTGGAGTAAAAAAAATGCCATTTCTGGCAGGTTGAGCCTTTGCAGGCTAGTGTGTTGTGAGGAGCCTTCTCAGGCTATGTCACTGCAGCTGCAGCTGCACCTCCTCCCCCATCAGGGCCAGGGGGCCCATCAGGGTCTGGTTCTTCTTTGGCTGGAGCCATCTCTGGCTTGTGGCTTTTGGACCTCCTTTTTTTCTTTTTTTTTTTTTCTGGAGCCTTCTTCAGGCTTGTCCTCAGATTCTTCTTCTTCTTCTTCTTCCATCTCTGGAATGGGAAGGCCATGGGCCAGCCTTACTCCTCTGCCCATTTCTGGCATGGCCCTGCTGGAATAAAATCTTCTTGGTGATTTTATTCCTGATGACAGGCTCCTGGACCTTGCCCTGTTGCCAATGTCCATGTTCAGTGCCATCATCTGGCATGTTTCTTGAGCCTTCTTCAGGCTTGGGGCCATCACCTTCTTTGGAGTCATCTTCTGACTTGCTGGAGGAGGCAGCTTTTTTTTCAGCTTCTTCTCTGGCCACAATTTCCAGCCAGATACTTTGCTCCTCCTCCCACTTTTTCAATTTTTCAGGGTCTTCTTCTTGAGCCATTTCCCTGGCTTTTGTATGCAATTCATGCATCTGCCTTTTGAGAGCCTTGTTCAGGCTGATTTTGAGAGGTTGGAGCTCAGGAGGGACCTCCTTGCCCTGTCTTTGGAGCTCCCTCCTTTCCTTCCTCCTTTTGTCAGCCCCAACCCCCCTGTACAGATGTCTGTCAGGGTTTGGGGGGGCTGGGGCTGACCATCCTCCCCATGAGCCTGAGGCACCACCTGTGCCCCATTCTTGCCATTCCTGGCATTGGTTGTGCCATTGCTGGCATGATTGCCAATCCCAATCTTGCCATCCCTGGCTTTGCCATGGCTGGCCTTGCCATTCCTGGCTCTCCCTCCATGGCTGCTGCTGCCAATTGCTGGTGGGAGACTTTGACCTTGCCCTCCCCCACCTGTTAGGTTGAGAGCTGTCTGGTCCAGACATGGATTGTGCCATCACTGGCAACCATGGTGTGCCTGTTGCCATCTCTGGCATAGGAATAGCCTTGATTCGGGCTTGTGTGGGTGGCTGTTTTCCACCCAGTGGACCAATCTGGGGTGTGGTCCACTGAGCTATGGGAGGCATAGCCAGCCCTTGGATAGTGCTGCTGGGCCCAGACTTGCACGTCGAAGGGCTGTGCCACAGTTACCAGCCTGGGATCTGGGTCATCCCTGCTGATGAGCCATTGCTGGCTTGAGATTTGCCACGTTGGGGGGAAGGTTGGGGCCTCTCCCCCCAACTGGCTGTGCCCATGGATGTAGTCAGCCATCTCTGGCTCTTCCTGCATGGCTTCCAGGAGGGCTTCCTCATACTCAGGCTCCAGCTCCTCCCACTCCTGGTCCTCATGCACATACCAGTAGCTCCTTCTCCACCTCCTGACCCTCCACCAGCACACCCAGGGTGTGGAGGCTGCAGGCTGGATGGCAGAGAGTGCTGCCACCAGCAGGAGGGGGCCTTTGCAGGCAGAAGTGCCTTTGCAAACATGGGAGCCATTGCTGGCTTTGCCTTTGCAGGCAATGAAGCCTTTGCAGGCCAGGGCTGCCAAGCACAGCAGCAAAAGCACCATGGCCATAGCTAGGAGCTAGAGGTGGCAGGTGCAGCAAAAGTTTGAAGTGTTTTCTGTGGTTGTTTTGTGTAAATTTATTTATGTACTCCAAGTTTGAATTTTATATGCTCGGTGCATTTGTGTTTTTGTTGTGTGTGTTGTTGCATGTGTTTGAGTGAGTGTAGTGTGTGTATGTGTATGTAGTTTTTGCATTGGTTTTGTGTATGCTGTGTGCTGTTTGCATGCTGTGAGATGGTCATGCGCATGTGGGTTTGGGCCACTTTGGCTGCAATGTTTTTTTTCTTGACCAACCACACCATGTAGCCCTACCCCCACAGCTTCACAACCCTTTGGCAGCAGCTGCTTTGTCAGCAACCTTTGCATGCACTGCATGGTCTTTGCCATGAGTGAGCCTTTGCAAGCTGGAGGCCTTTGCAGGCTGGGAGCCTTTGCAGGCTGGAAGCCTTTGCAGGCTGGGAGCCTTTGCAGGCTGGGAGCCTTTGCAGGCTGGGAGCCTTTGCAGGCTGTCACAAGCTCTTGAGCAAGTTGTTCTTGAAATCCACCATGTGGGCCTTATCCAGGCCTGGTTTTTGTGCCTCATTGAAGCAAGCTTGAAGCACATGGGTTTGGTTCTCCCCTCTAGGGAGGTTCACATTCACCACACACTTTGCTTTTTCTTCTGAGCCATTTCTGGCTAAGATGTACCCCTTTCACTGAAGCTGCCCATTTTGACCCAACCAAAACTGCAACTGGCAACCCAAGTGTTCTGGGTTGCCATGTGCACAGCCTTTGCAGGCTTGGGAGCCATTGCTGGCTTTTTTTCTGGTGCTGTCTTTGAACTGGCACTTGCAGGCCTTCTCAAAGGCTTGCTAGGCTGTCCCAACTCACATGCACCCAATGGCCCAGAAGAAGCACTGGAAGAAATTTCCTGCAAGCTGATCTGGGAAGCAGTTTCACTTTCAGCCATGCTCTGGCTGCTGTCCACAGCCTCTGCCAACATGATCTTTGGCTGTGAGTTCTCCTCTGCAATAGCCTTTGCAGGCTGGCTGGGTTGGGAAGGTTCCTTCACAGTTGAGCCTTCTGCAGGCTGAGGAGTTTTTTTGGTGAGCCTTTTTTCAGGCTTGCTGGCACTGCCTGCTTGGACACCATGGCCATCCATGGCCCTCAAAACTTGCATGACAGCCAGGTTTGTCTTCTCACCATTTTTGAGATTGGCTTTTTTCTTTTTGAGCCAAGCCCTGTATTCTGTCAATTTATTTATGATTGTGTTTTTCTCTCCACCTTTCAAATATGGATATGCTTCGCAAAAAATGAGCCTTGCATCAGGCTTGGAATTTTTTTCTGCAAACCAGCATGACATAAAGCATGACATTTTCATGCAAGCCATCTCTGGCTCAGGTGGGAAATCTTGCACCTTACACTCAGGCAAGAAACCTTTGGCCGTAGCAACAAGCTTTGCTACTTTGGTGCCTTTTGCAGGCATGTTTCCATGAGCCACCTCATCATCTATAGGCAGCTCTGCTGCCATATCTGTTTGCTTTTTTGAGCCAAAACTGCATAGAACTCTTGACAGTGATATATATATATATATATATATCTATCTATCTATCTATACATATATAGATAAATGCCACTATCTTCAAGATTCCTAGAAGACAAAATTGGAAGTCAAAAAAATTGACTGCTAGAGTAAAAAAACGTGGAAGTCAAAATTTTCAACTGGCAGTCAAAACACTTGGCTGGCAGACGTTTTTAAGAAGTAAGAAAACCTGGCTGCCAGACAGAAAAACAAGCTGCCAGCCAAAAAAATTGACTTCCAAAATTGTCTTCTAGAAGGCTAGAATGAAAATTTTTGACTGCCAGCCGGTTTTTTAGTCTTCCAGGAAGCTAAGGGTACAGTTCTCCCTTCGTTCGGTCGATTCTGTTCGGTGGTGTTTATCATCTTGATGCTCTCTGGGCGGCTCGTCTTGTCACTGCCTTGTTGCGTTACTCTCTTCGCTTTCAGGGCTGTCCCCCTTGGTCGCTCCGCTTTGGGAGCCCCTGTGCTACTCTCAATACCTGGCTGCTTCGATGTCACTGGGTTCGCGTCCGTCCTTGGGTTTGGGAACATCCTTTGGGGGGGGTCAAGTTGGATCTGTCCGTTCGTCTTTCCCCTCAACTCGTCGATGGTTGGATTAACCATTGCAGGCATGTGCTTCGTGTTGGTTGGCGCGCTTATCAGTTCAAAGAATGGTGTGCTTCCTCCCGTCATGAACTTCTCGAAATCCCGTCTCCTTTAAATTGGTTTCAAAAAATCAATTGGGGTGATGCTCGTGACTGGGCTACTACCACCGCCTCCGCTGCCACTGTGTGCCTCGGTGCTCACTGGCAACATAAAGATCCTTCTCGTGCTGGTTGCATTTGGCCCGGGTGCTCCTCTCTCGGTCATTTCCATCATGTCTTTTGGGAGTGTGCTTCCCGTCCCCACTTCGCCCCTGCGCGTCCTGCTTCCCCCTTTCTTGCTCGCTTCGGCTGTGGTCTGCTGGGGAAGACCCACAAATTGTCCAATCGGTCCGTGTTTGGCTCTCTTTCGTCCAGTCCTAGCTTTGGAAGGTTCAATATGGTTAAACCCTGTTTGTCCCTCCTTTCTGGGTCTCCTTACCTTGTCCCCGTGGTTGGGTGTCTGGCCATATCCATGGTGACTCCTTTTTGTGTGCAACACCTGTCTCACTAAGGAAATTCTGTTTCACTTAGGTTCTTTTCACCACACACCCTTATCGTCTTCGGCACGATGGGGGCTCCTATGCGCTATCGACTTCGCGGTGGTGCAGTGCAAAGATTTCTCTCTCTCTCCTCTAAATTTGCATAAATGGGCCCTTGTGACATGTCCATGTGCTTTTCGATTGCGCAGGATCGCACAAAACGTGCGCCTGACAGGCATTCTCGCATAACATAGCTCGTCTGACATGTCCATGTGCATGTCGCTTGTGCAGGCTGGCACAAAACGTGCGCCTAAGCCCTCGGGCGCGGCATTTTTCCGGTAGATTCTCGCATAAAATGCATAGAATGCAAAAAAAGGCTCTTCTGACATGTCCATGTGCATTTCGACTGCGCAGGCTCGCACAAAGTGTGGGTCGCGGTCTTGGGATCGGTCTTGCTCCTCCACAGTATCACCCTCGGCATCTTCATCTTCCAGCTCCTCCTCCACATCATCATCCTCAACATCATCATCTTCCTCCTCAACATCGTCATTTTCTGAACATCATCATCTTCCCCTCCTTGACATCATCAGCCTCAACTTCATCATCCTCCACATCTTCTGCAAAATGATCATCCTTTTCATCATCCTCCTCGACATTATCATCATCAACATCATAATCTTCCTCCTTCTCAGCATCATCATCCTCCACTTTATCTTCCGCATTCTCACCCTCATCCTCATCCTCCTCAAGATCATCATCCTCAACCTCATCCTCCACCTCTTCATCCTCGACATCATCATCCTCAACATCATCGTCCGCAACATTAGCATCCTCATCTTCGTCATCATCATCATCATCATCATCATGATCATGATCATGGCCATCATGATGATGATGATCATCATCATCATCATCATCATCACAACATTACCATACACTATCCTCACACAAACATTTGTTTGGGTCTCTTGCCGGTGTCATTTTTCGATGCGGCGTTGAGTATAGCATGCGGAATGGCATGGTTGCTGTTTTTTAGTGACATGGTTGAGGTTTTGGCAGTTAAACAAAAATTCTAAGGGTATTCGGAGGTTAAAACTATCTACCACATAGAATGTGATTCGGGATATCGGCGGGCCCGAAAAATATGGGATGACCAGACTGAATTAGGATCCGTAGCAATAGTGTACAGTAGAAATCAATTTGTTCTAACCTGATCCTTAACAAACTCTCCCAGTTGAAAGGGTGGTTTTATACCCCAGCACCTCAACATTCGTGAGCTCCATTTGGAACACCCAGCAAATCAATAAATTGGTGCGTTTGAACATGCCATGGAACAATGGACATGCATCAAAACCCTTGTACCCTGCTGCTTATATTTAAAAAAATAGGTGCGGTGCGGTGGGCATAAATTTAAAATTAGATGTTTATTTATCCCCCTTCATATCGAAAATAGTTGGCTTTGATCAATTCCCAAAATATTCCGAACATCCCCATTTTTTTATCTGTTGACTTAAACCCCCTAACTTCCTGGCTACGCATCTAAGCCTCGACTCCTATGGTCAGATCATCATGTTTCGATGACGACCCCCCATGCTTTGGTGAAGTCAAGATTTCTGATAGTTAATTTCCGATTTTTTGTAGGTGAACTCCAGTTATTTTCATAGTTTCAATCCCCATTTTCGGCTGGTCACATCCCATATGTTTGTGAATTGAATCCCTATTGTTGCTGTTGAAATACTCTAAATTTTCATGTTTTGTTTTCATCCTCCATCTCAGAAATGTCCCAGGTGGAAGATTTGAAGCACCTCTTCTCCGAGATTTCGGGCGGCGAGAGTTTGGCGCAGGTCGGTATTGATGAGTGCCTGGGCTGGCAGGGGGTTGGAGATGGGACAAATTTCCCGGCAGTGAACGTTTCAAGAACATGGATTTATATGGATTTATGGGATATTTGGTTCTGGGTCATATCCTGAAATAGTTGGTTATATAATGGATGGCTATTCCCCGCAAATATGATAATATATGAAAATAGGTTTTGACATGTTTTGACCCATCCCCATTTACCCAACAAATGGGGATGGATCTAGAGTTGTTTCGAGGGATTTGATTTAACCAATGGCAATAAAGAAATAAAGAGGGATATTAACTGTTGAGCTGGGGATATATGGAGTTATGGCAGATATCTCCAAGAGACTGGGCACCGCCTGAAATGGGGAGGCTATCGTATTCAGGTTAGCCGGCAAACTAAGATAGCTATGGAGGATCAACATTTCTCAAAGGTAAGTCCTATAAATGGCTATTTCAATAGCTATGTTGCATGACCAGAGGGTATATACATATATACATATATACAGTTATATACATATATATATATATATACATACATATACAGTTATATATATATACGTATATTTGTAGATATATAATTGTTTGTTCAGATTTATGGTTAACATGTGGGTCAAAACCCTTCAAAAACCTTTAGTTCACAGCACGCTAATAGCAGATAGTTGTGGATGTCCCCCAAGAGTCTCTCACGGGGCCTGGGAACTCTGAGGTTCAAGCAAGCCGCTTGGCGCCTAGAAGGGTGGAGGCCTTTGGATGGGGGGGGTCCCCCCCAATTTATGGATGCTTTGTTTCGCGACACTTTCAGGAGTGGATGGAAATTCACACTTCAACTTTTTGCTGGTGGTTTGATGTTTGTTAACATTTTTCATCCCACTTGGAATGAGACCCTCCGGTAATTGAACATGGCTAGCTGGAAAGTCCCCCATTTATAAATGATCTTCCCATTGGAAGCTCTGTTTTGCTCGGCGATTTCCTAGCTAGACATGTTGGATGACACCGAAGAGATCCGAAGAGTAATCGAGTCGACTAGTACTTTTCAGGATGGCTCAATCGTAGGATTTTGATCTGCAGAAAGAGCGTCGTTTCTTCTCAATTGAAGAGTCCTTCGAGAGTCCAAGAGCTTCGGTACCCATGTGGGTGGCTGGTACTTGTACCCAATGGATCGCGGTTTCAAACCATCGAATGGGGGGTAGCCTATTTTCCCGCACATCCCCATAGCTACTGACATACCCAGGGTCCCCATTCCGGGCATCTCCCCATGGTCATTCAGCTGAGGCGATGTCGACAACCAAATTCTCCGCCTTTCTCCACTCCATGGGGATCAGCACGGAAGATGTGGGCGTCCTTTTCAAGTGCCTTGGGCGGCGCACTTGGAGGGATTTTGAGGTTTTTTCAGCATGAAAATAAGCGCCAAAAAGCTTGGAGAATGTTGGATCTACGCCTTAGAACTATGGGATAACTATGGGTATAGCTGGTATAGCTGTATATTTCACTAAAGCAAGCTGTTGGATTTCGCAATTTTTGTATGGTTTTTTGCTTGCTGTTTTTCCAATGGTTCAAAGTTTGACAGTGAAAAAAGTGATCTGGTTGGTGGTTTGGAACATTTTTTTATTTTCCCATATATTGGGAATAATAATCCCAACTGACCCAACTGACTTTCATATTTTATCCAGCTATTATTATCCAAAACGCCCAAGCTTCTGCGCAGCCAGGTTGCTGGACGCGGACACCAACGGATTGGTGGACTTGGACGAGTTTGTGACAGGATGTTTAAACCTCCATGGCACCGCGAAGAGTCCCTTGGGGCGTTGGTTGGGCCGGTTTCCAGTGGGTATCGAAACATGGGGGGGCTCATCCCACGGCAAGTTGAAGAGAGAACATGATGATGACCCATTTTTTTTTTTCGGGTAGTCTATTTTCAGACAAATGCACATGTTTTTTCCCAAACAGTTCCAAACCAATTGAAGATATGTTGGAACGTTCCATCTGAGCAGAAGCATTCGCTCAATTTACACGTTTTGCCACTATGCATAGGCTGAGCTCAGTGTGTTTTCTCAGTGACAATTTCTAGATGAGCTACAGATCTTTGTGGTCGTGTTCACATATGCTGGTTGGTGGTTTGGAACATTTTTTATTTTTCCATATATTGGGAAGAATCATCCCAACTGACTCACATTGTTCAGAGGGGTAGGTATACCACCAACCAGTATGGGTTTGCCCCGAACATGGAACCAACATGACCATATTGGATGACGGGATGATGACCATCCCCTCCCTAGTCAGATGCTGTAGGTCATTGAAGGTCATGATCCATTATTTTCCCATGACATAGCCGCCATAGCCCTAAATTTGATCTCTATAATCTCCAACAAATATCTCTAGAAAATAAACATCTTCATCGAATCTCTAGACAATAAATGATCAGATTAATGATCAAATTATAGAATATAATCCCCAACACATATCTCCATTAACATCAGCTCTGCTTTCCAAACATCTTCATCGAATCTGGCTCGATATCATGGGTGAACCCCCGATGGCCGAGGCTCTCAACTGGCTCGAATGAGCTATGCTGCTGGGCGGCATTTCGTATGGCAACATACGATTTTTTTCTACGGATGGTTAGGGGACAACGCCAAAGTACTCAGCATGACTCATAACCCTTCCTGGAATGTACGTATAAAATTGTATAATACTATTATATATATATACAGTATATAGTTATAGACACCTACAAAACCACCTGGAGCCTCAAAGCACGCAGCATGGGCATGCCAATTTTTTTTTCAGTTCTGGCGCAAAGACATGCTCGAGATTGTGACAGATTGTGACACAGACATGTTTCCAGAGCATTTTGCCCAGTGACACAACCGTCAAGCGGAAGATCCAGTCACAATCTTTCCATCTCTTCCCATTCTTCTCGACTGGAATTTCAAGGCGAACTCTTTTGTTTCCAAACTAGTTGTGCCGCAGCCCAAACGAGTCCCCCTGGTTCCATTTTTAGATGTTCTTCCCCAAAAATGGGATGCTGAGTCAAGCTGACCTTTCTGAGTAGCTGGGAAATCCCCGAAATCAATGCAGGTTTCGTTCGCTGGGAAAGTCATCAAACTCAATGGTAGATTTTCCAGCAAGCCACGTTTGATGACACCGGAGGGTTCCCAGTTTCAGTGGCTTCACCAGTGGCATCACCAGTGGCATCACTAGTGGCATCACCAGTGGCTTCACCAGTGGCATCACCAGTGGCATCACCAGTGGCATCACCAGTGGCATCACCAGTGGCATCACCAGTGGCATCACCAGTGGCATCACCAGTGGCATCACCAGTGGCATCATCATCACTACCATCATCATCATCGTCGTCATCATCATCTTCTCATCTTCTCATCTTCTCATCTTCTCATCTTCTCAACTTCTCAACTTCTCAACTTCTCAGCATCATCATCATCATCATCACCATCATCATCATCATCATTCATCATCATCACCATCATCATCATCATCATCACCATCATCATTACCATCATCATCATCATCATCGTCATCATCATCATCATCCACCATCTTCATCATTACCATCATCATCATCATCACCATCTTCATCATCACCATCATCATCATCATCTTTATCATCCTTCTCCTCATCATCATCAACATCATCAACATCATCTTCATCATCACCGTCATCGTCAGCATCATCTTCATCATCACCACCATCATCATCACCATCATCATCGTCAGCATCATCTTCATCATCACCATCATCATCATCTTCTTCATCATCATCATCACCACCATCATCATCATCACCATCACCATCTTCATCATTACCATCATCATCATCATCATCTTCATCATCACCATCATCATCCTCAGCATCACCATCATCATCGTCAGCATCATCTTCATCATCACCATCAACATCATCATCACCATCATCATCTTCATCATCACCATCATCATCGTCAGCATCATCTTCATCATCACCATCATCATTATCACCATCATAATCGTCAGCATCACCATCATCATCATCATCTTCATCATCACCATCACCATCACCATCATCATCATCATTCATCATCACCATCATCAACATCACCATCATCATCGTCAGCATCATCTTCATCATCACCACCATCATCCTCACCATCATCATCATCATCATCATCATCGTCATTACCATCATCATCATCACCATCTTCATCATCACCATCATCATCATCATCTTCATCATCACCATCATCATCATCATCTTCATCATCACCATCATCATCATCACCATCATCATCATCACCATCATCATCACCAGCATCATCTTCATTATCACCATCATCATCGTTAGCATCAGCATCATCATTGTCAGCATCATCATCATCCTCGTCAGCATCATCCTCATCATCACCATCATCATCATCATCATCATCTTCATCATCATCATCATCACCATCATCATCGTCAGCATCATCATCATCATCATCATCCTCTTCATCATCACCATCATCATCACCATCATCATCGTCAGCATCATCTTCATCATCGCCAACATCATCATCACCATCATCATCGTCAGCATCACCATGATCATCGTCAGCATCATCTTCATCACCACCATCATCATCATCGTCATCATCGTCAGCATCATCTTCATCGTCACCATCATCATCATCACCATCATCATCGTCAGCATCACCATCATCATCGTCAGCATCATCTTCATCATCACCACCATCATCATCACCATCATCATCGTCAGCATCATCTTCATCATCACCATCATCATCATCTTCTTCATCATCATCATCACCACCATCATCATCATCACCATCACCATCTTCATCATTACCATCATCATCATCATCTTCATCATCACCATCATCATCCTCAGCATCACCATCATCATCGTCAGCATCATCTTCATCATCACCATCAACATCATCATCACCATCATCATCGTCAGCATCACCATCATCATCGTCAGCATCGTCTACATCATCACCACCACCATCATCATCATCATCTTCATCATCATCGTCATCATCGTCAGCATCATCCTCATCATCACCATCATCATCATCACCATCATCATCGTCAGCATCACCAGCATCATCATCTTCATCATCACCACCATCATCATCATCATCACCATCATCATCGTCAGCATCATCTTCATCATCGCCAACATCATCATCACCATCATCATCGCCAGCATCACCATCATCACCATCATCATCGTCAGCATCATCTTCATCACCACCATCATCATCATCGTCATCATCGTCAGCATCATCTTCATCATCACCATCATCATCATCATCACCTTCATCATCGTCAGCATCATCTTCATCACCACCACCACCATCATCATCATCGTCATCATCGTCAGCATCATCTTCATCATCACCATCATCATCATCATCACCTTCATCATCGTCAGCATCATCTTCATCATCACCACCATCATCATCATCATCTTCATCATCATCATCGTCAGCATCAGGGCATTTGATTTTCTATGTCGATGACACCGGAGGGTTCACTTCAGAGATCCCTCAGGAGAACAAGCTCACGCGGCGGGAGATCAAATCGATGCAGAGGTCTCTGGCTGACTCTTGGTTTTTTTCCTGTGATGGCTTGGCAGTTTCCGAAATGGGGATTTAGCCGACCAAACATGGGATTGAACACTTTGAAAGATCCATATATTTATACATTTATGGGGATTTTATAGGGATATATTGGGATATAACTACAACAACAGGGACTTAATTATCAAAAGTGGAGGTTAATTCTCCCTCAATTGATGTGGGGATATCATTGGATAATTAGGGACATAATATGGATATAACTGGAATTTATGGGACATCACTGGCATGAATGGGATACTGGATGATAATGATGATAATGAATAGTCCTTTCCCCTTTTCACACTGAAGACCTTGCAGAAACCATGGTGGATGTACTGTAGGGGATGAAATCACATTTTTGGGACCATACAATGGGGATGTTTAGATGTGTTTAGTATGAATGGGGCTATGGGATTTGAATGGGAACTCAATGGGGATAGAATGGGATATACGGTGGGCCCCCAGATATAGCCAAGTTGATGCGCATAATTAGATTAGCGATTGGGTTCGTGGTAGTTATAACGATAGGTAATGGGGTTTATAAGCGAACAAACATAATTGGGGGTGGCTTGCCTTGTAGGCACATATATGGGTATATCTAGGTATATCCTGAAATGGGGTTATCTCAAATGTATGGTTTCTGATACTACAGTTGCTGTTGCTAACAAGGGGTCCCCAAAAAGATGCCGAACAGAGTTTCCAGGATGTCATAGATGATATTTGCCTAAACACATTGCCAATCTTCCAACTTTTCTATCTTGGTTGAGGTTGCTGTACCCATCATACTCCCAGTAAATTCCATTCAGTCCACATTATCCCATCATGTATACAGTATATACCAAAAATATTGTCAATTTGTAAGTATCCCCCTAGATGTATAGTTCAATATGTATTACGCATTATGTATCCGCTTTGACTTGAAATTGTCCTTGGCTGGGGCACTCTGAACAACCGATCCAACACATGCCCGCCGTTCAATTGACCGGGGCCGAATCAATCAGAGTCGGGGGCTGTGTAGTGAGTTCTTTTGCACTTTGCGACTAATAAAATGGCTGAGTCGCTCCATAGACCATATTCAAATATTCTTTCTTCTGCGACTCATGTCCAGTTTTGTTTTGCCATGCAAAACATCTCATATTGAGCTCGGTATGACCCAATTTTTCCAATAGACATGGCAAAGAAAACATATTCTCACCTACAGTAACCCCCCTGAGAAGATCGAAAAGTAATTTACCACCAATTATTCTACTCTCTCGTCATTTAACATAGCTATGGACCATGGCCCATTTATAGATGAATTATGATGATGTACCTATTAAAACAGCTGGTTTTCCATAGCTACGTGAAATTACCAGAGGGTACTAATTCTTTCCCTTTGATACCCCTATAAATCCCATTAAATCCCGTTAACATCCCATTATTCCCATTTATTTGGTATGATGACCAGGTCACCTCCCCTATAATTCCGATCTATTTTTTTTTGACAGGTTGCTGCGACCTTCAACAGTTTGTGTTGCACATTGATGGCCATCTGAATGGTTAGAATGATGATCCACCCGGGGATTTGTCCACCATTTTGGGCTGGGAACATGTACAGTAACCATTGCAAGTTTTCAAAAGAAACATCAGGAGATGAAAAGGTTAATGTGAATGGCTTGGTTTCTGTGTGTCTGAAAAGGGGGTATACTCTAGTTGGCAATTTCATGCAATTTCAATTTATGATGCCCTCTGGTAATCAAACATAGCAGCATAGCAATGGAACATTCCCGATTTATAGAGGATTTTCCCATAGAAACCTCCAGTTATAAGGGATGTTCAACATGTGTTGTGGGACCTCATTTTGGATGGTCATTTCCTCAGGATTTGCATATCGTACTTCGCATGATGTGCGAGAACTGGTCAGTCTGAGTGAGCGAAGACGCACCCAGCGGCGACCAGCGGGAGTTGTGGTGGTATGAAAACCCACAGGAGTTTCATGGGCCATTTTCACAAAATTCCCTGATTGGCTATGACACAGGGAGTTATAGTATAGGCGTTATACTACACAGGCTATTGGGGATTATGAAGTAACCCATAGAAACCATAGGAAACCTATCAAGCAACTGGTAGAATTTTCGGATCATCCCACGAATCGTACATCGTACTGGTTAGTAACCATAGTGAGAACCAATCTACAAATGGAACAACCAGACCACAACCCCCGAAATGGGGACTTACTAGCAAGGCTTATTAACCACTTACTAAATGGGATGATCCTCCAAGTACTCAACGATTTGATACCTTAGCTTGGAGTTTTTCTCCAAGCTATGGAAAATGAAAATGCTGCATTTATAGATGATTTACCTGTTGTTGTAAGAATTCTACTTTTCCATAGCTATGTTAATTTTGCATGGTAGTTTCTAAAGGCCAATCCAATTTGGGCCGCAGGAGTACCTTGACCTGGCTGGCCAGGCTACACCAGTGTGGGTCCACCTCTTGTGGGTATCGATGGAACAGAAAAACTCCTTTTGTTTGAAACCTGTGAAACAACATTTGGGGGTTTCCATAAATGGGGGATCCCCAATAGCTGGTTGGTTTATTTCATGGAATTTCCCATTCAAATGGATGATTTAACAGAACAACAATTTCAGGAGCCTCCATTTTTTATGATCTTTGAGATTTGGCCACTTTCCTTGATTTCGTTGAAGATATTTACACCCTTCTCCCAACAAATCCCTTGATTATATAACCAAATGATTTGATCTCGATGTTGATGCTTAAATCCACATTTTTGATGGTTAACCCCTTATTCAATCACCTGACTTTGATGGTCTAATCTCCCATTTTCCACCCTTTTTGATCTTTGAATCCCAATTTCCAATCAGTTTTGATGTTTAAATCCCAATTTTCCATCACTTTTCGATGGTTCGATCCCCTTCAATGCCAGCCTTTCGCTCGGCCACGCGGCACGAAGCTAGGCAGCTAGACGCAGACCGAAGCTGTCGATCCGCAACGCCCAAAAACCTGGTGGCTGTGGCATTTCCCCAGAAGTCAACGAAGTGCAAGAAATCTGGATGATTTTGATGGTGATGATGGTGATGATGATCATATTTTGGTTGATAATATCATGATGATCTGGTATATTAAAACAAAAATCCAGATAATATGGGATTACAACATAATAAACCATGATGATGATGGTGGTGATGATGATGATGGTTTATACCTGGTTTATTACTGCAATATGGTTTATAATTTTGTAATCCCATCTATGCAACTACATATATAGTCATATTAATATATGTATATGCTGTATATGGTTTTGATCACAACTTCACGTCGTAACGTCACTGGAATGATTGAGAATGTAATGGGAGTCAACCCCTATTGGCTGTATAATAAAAGCTATTTTCAGGTGAGTGAACTATTGTAATTCAGCCGTATATACATGATGTGACAAATAATGATGATAAACCAGAGCATGGAATGGGGTACTGTATCCTGTTTTCAGACAAATCCATTTACGCATATACATACTGTATTATATAATTATATAAATACTATATATATATATTATAAATAAATAAATAAATAAATAAATAATTAATTAAATAAATAAATATATATATATATATATGTAGAATCCCATCCTCCGCTTATATTGAACACCCTCAGAAAGCATGGTGGATGAGGATGAAATCACATCTTTGGGACCATGCAACGGTGGTGTTTTGTCATACATGAATAAATATGAGCAGACGGGCTGGCCGACTTGGACTGATTCATGCTCTGCCGACTCGCAGAAAAACAATTGCCGTTAGCCTTTCGAAACCCGTCTTTTTTTTCATGACCGAATCCATGGACCAATGGATGCTTTCAAGAGCCAGTTGGTATATTTTGGTACGTCTAATTAGTCTAATTAATGTTTGGATATAACTTGCCCCCCAAGCCATGCAACTTGCCTATTTTCCCATTGGATGACATCTCCAGTTTTTTCTTGGAGAAACAACATATGCAACGCACCGCAACGCGCCATGTTCACTGCAGGGTTTTGGGGCGCTGCTTTGCTCACGTGACATGGTCATTCGAAATTTCCAATGTTTTTCCTTCGCCAGGAGGCGTAAAGCTGTGCGAAAAACTTGCAAAAAAACCCGAAGGGTTCTATAGCTGCAGTGGCAGAACCTGCTGACCCTGACACTTGTTGCCACCCAGATGGTACAATCATGAATATCGTGATACAAAGAGAGAGTTTGACATCCCCGCAATGGTGGACGTCTCTATCCTTTGATCAACATAATGTTTTGTTTGTTGCCACCAGATGCCAGGGTTTGAAGTGTTCCACCGATGCATTCCTGGTTTTGCACGCCCCACTTTCGAAATTTTGCGATGCTGGGGCCTGTGGGACGGGCGGAAAGCCCATGGAAACCGTTTCCGCGATATCGAGGGAAGTCGACTGCATGGGCAGTTTGATATTCAAATTCGGTGTGTTTGAAAGTGGGGTTCCCATGGGTTCCTCAAAATTTCATGGTTTGCTACCATTTTCCCACTTAAGACTGCTATTTTGGGGTATACCACTCTGGACAAACCCACTTTGATCATGGTCGACCTCAAATCAAGGACTGAAATCTTGAAGCAACCCCCAATCAATGGCAATTTCAATGGGGAAATGATGTTTTAAACATTTGAAAGCATGGAATGGGGAGCCCTATCTCGAGACAAACCGTTTTTTTTGACGGCATCAAGTCACGGTGATTTGCCGACAGCCGGTGGGTTCCCCACAAGGACAGCCGGACCGTTGAGATCCTGGCCATCGCCGTCTTGCAATTTTTTCGGCCTCTGGTTTCACCGCGCAGCCAAGGGCCAAGCACTGGCCATTTTAAAAATGGACCGAAGGGGGGAAACTCTGTGGTGAACAGCTATCATAGCTGTGGCATTTCTTGGCAAAATGGTCCATGTCCTTTGAGTGAATCCCAAATGAATTTCCTCATGTTTGCTGGCTGAATCCCGATTCTTTGTAATCCACCGATTCTGCAGCAACGTGGGCAAACTCGTGTCTCATGGGTCGGAATGACCCCGAACATGGATAGAAAAGTCTTGGCAATGATGATGACCATTTGGGGGTAGTGGTGCCACATCCAGGTTTTCTGATGCCTGCATCGGATTTCTTAAAGCTTTGCCCAAAATCCATCAAAATCCCAGGGGTCCCAGGTCAGTTTGCTTCACATCCGAGGCGCCGCGGCTTCGCAGCGTCTCGCAGGAGTCGCCGCCAATGTCTCGGTGGGGTTGGGGTTCGAGGTGGCGGCTGGTGGCTTCCAGGAATCTTCAGGTTAGATGAGTTATATCACAGTAGCTGATGATTTTTCAGTGATTATAACTGGAGTATACTGGAGTTATATAGTGAAAAATCACATTTATAACTGGAGTTTTTTTTGATTATAGCCTAGCCATTTAATTATAACTGGAGTTATAACTCACGAAATTTTCAGTAAGGGACATATCCCTGGTATTTTTTCCCTGGTTATTTTGATGAATTCACCATATCATCCCACTGATAACTGGTTAGCTACTTAGGATTGGTGGGAGCCACCAGGTGGATGAATTAGAATGAGCCCAGGAAGATTGGATTCAATATGCTATCCCAGAAAAAAACACCAGCCAACACAAATACAAAGGTGTGGTGACTTTAGTACTTCTAAACTTTGAAAGCTTGGTTAAATAGCTATTTTCAGGTTAGGGAATTATATGGAATCATCAGTTCAGCCAGATCAGCCAGGTCCCAAGGTCTTTTTAAATCAATTTCCTCAAAGGATGTCCCAAATTCCCACTGGTTGGTTGATCTTTGTCGCGGGACGACCCCATTGCGGCCATCATCAGAAACAACGGGTCTGTTTGGGTTGATGAAGCAACATAACCAACCAACAAGGGGAGCTCCCGAGCCTTTTAATGTCCCCAACATCAAACATGGGATGTAATATGATACAATGGAATATTTCAGCAACAATATTTAGTTGGTGGTTGCAACCACATTTTTTCTATGGGATACCAACTTACACTAATTTCGAGTATCGGTATATAATAGGTGTGAGTATAACCAATGATGCTCTATGGTATTGTCCAATTCTTATTTCACTATAATGGGACGATGATGTGGATTTGATTGACCTCCGTTTCACATAAAGGGTTTTCACATCAACCAAGAATGAGTATTTGACTATTTAACCAATGCTTAGCCGGAGGTTTGTACCTGTTGGTAGAAGGGTTCCTATCTACACTGCTGATGAGAAAACGAGACAGGTTCTGATTCGCAGAAATGGATTCAGGCATTCAAGGGATCGAAACACTCTTTTTGCGCTGCAAAAGCCACCAATTGTAGTTGATAAACCATGCAATCAAATCTCCACGAAAATGACAGGAGGAACGGATGGGGGAACATTAGGCTTTCGTTAAAGTTTTACACGCATCACATCTCTGGTAATTTATAACATCTATAGCTACAAGGTGGTGCCCCCCCAGTTGTAAATCGGTTTAGAAACCATAGTAAGTATAGATATATCTACCATAAACCATAGTTATTGGAGTTATAAACCAACTTAGCTAACTATGCCACCTTGTATGGAAAATCGCAATGATTCGTACATCTGGCTCATGGCCCATGACTTCCGCCCAACAACCTGGTGGTTCATATGATCTTCCTGATCCCATAGTATCTGAAGATCCTGATATTCTAGAAAATGAATATCCCGGATATCCTCCATTCTCATGATTGATTTCCATAAATTTCCATCATCGATGTAGACTGCTTGTTTTCCGTGGGATATGCTATATCTTATATCGGGAGTCATCACTAGACTATATTCCCAACAATGTAATCATATCAACATTGTAAGCCATGATTCCAAAAAACATATTTCACCAATATTGGGAGTATATTGGGAGTATCAATTTATATAATATCATCATTCAATCTATATTATACCATCTTTTGATCATAGGAAGGCTGAGGGTGAGATCAAAAAAACATTGTTCCTTGCATTGGTGAAATATTATCATATATATATATATTCATGATCATGTATACA